AACTGCGCGCGGCTTCATTTTCCAGGAATGCGAGTCATTTCCTCTGGCCGGGCGCAGGGCGGTTGAAATTTAACAGCATCGGGGCCGCCGCGTCCCGCTGTCCCACTGCCCCATATCCCGCTGCTCCGCGTCCCGCTCCGTCCTGGGCACCCCATATCCCCGGGACTCCTCTTGTCCATCTGTCCGTCTGCCCTGTTTTCCCTGCATTCTCTCACCCGTGGGGACCCCCGTGGGACCCCCTTGCCCACGGGTCCCTCTTGCCCCTGGGATGTGCCCCGTGCCGGGTCGATGCCGGTGGCTCCGGCTCGGAGCCTCATCCGGCTGCTCTTCTCCGACTGGTCCCTGCTGGGGTGCCGAGGGCGATGGAGGCCCCGGATCGGAGGCTGGTCCCTGCTGTCGTGGCTCGGAGCAGCGTTTCCCGGGATGCTCACCCAGCGCCGAGGGAAGCGGCGCCAGCGAATGGGCCCTGGGGCCGGTACCGGGCACGTGGATCCCAGCTGGATTATGGATGTCATGGGAATAAACCCTGAGAGAACGGGGCTGTAAAAACCCCATCCCAGCAGCTCGCCAGATTTCCAGCCCCGCCGCCCTCTGTGGCTCCTGCCCCTTGTGGTTCCTCATCCCAAGGATATTTTTCACCCTAAGCCCAACTCTTCTCCTCCAGAACCACCGCAGCTGATTGACCGGCCGGGTGTGCAGAGCTTTGCCGCTCTCCCTGTGCCGGTTGCTTTATTTTCCTCCTTCATGGTATTTACTTGCGCTCGCTGCTCCATGGACGGAGCATGGATTTATTGGCTCTTTTTTTTTTTGGATAAAACGCTCAAAAACGGTGCCATTGCATTTGCAACGCCCCAGCCAGCAGGCACATCAGGGCTCGGTTATAGGAGCTGCGTTTCGGCATCGTCTGTGAAGGAGCCCTTTTTCTACCCTCGGATCATTCGAACACTTTACAGCCCAAGTCTGTAAGCAATTATTCCATTACATGAAAGTCAGGACGCTGGAAAAGATTAATTCAGACCAGATGTAAAAATAAATGCGAATTTCAAATTAAGATGATGTCAGCTCCCTCCTGCTTTTTTTTTTTTTATTTTTAAAAAAAGCAGTGCTTTGGACTCCAGATGGAGTATACAAACTGTGGTTAAAATATCTGCCTGGTTGCTAATTTAGTTTGATGTCTCCCATTTTTTTGTCTGCAAAGCGGGCTTAGAGGATTTTATCAAGCAAACCCGAAAGAAAAGCCCGTTTTGCGGCCGCTGCTCGGGAAACGCGGCGCCGCGGGGCCCGCTCGGCCTCGCCGGAGGTCGCTTCCAGCCGAAATCCCGGGGATTTGCTGCTGAGCCGAGCGCCGGAGAGACGCCGCCGGGGAGCAAAGCTGGGGAGCCGCAGCACTCCGCAAAGTGGGAATATCTGCTGCTTGGACCCCTTCTGGAGCGATGCCGATGGGAGGCGCTTCCCAGCCGGAACCTCGGGCTGCGTCCCCTCACCGTGCCGGCTCCTCTCCCACTTTTCTGAGGCCCAGAGGTGCCGGCAGCGCTGGATGCGGTGTGAGAAGCCGGAACAGATCCCACCAGGGCCTGGGAATGGCTCTTCTGCCTCGATGCAACTGGAAGTTCCTAGCAGAGAGTGGTTAAATGCCCAAGGCTGGCAGAGAAGGAGACAAAACGGATGGGCTTGATGCAACAACATGAAAGGAAAAGGAGGAAAAAAGAGACAAGAGAAGGAAAACCAGACCAGGGCAGCCGCGCATCCTTACAGCGCTGAGGCTTATCCTTTTTAGCAAAGAAGGAACCGTGGACACGGGAATTGCGGAGCCCCATAGGGTCATTCCTGCCCGGGGGTTAGTTGGGTGGAAAACATGCAGTTCTGGGGCCAGACCCGTCTCTCTGTGGTGCCAAAGCGGCCGCGGGGCACGGCTGCCGGAATAGCGACGGATCCGTCCGAGGCTCCGCCACGGAGCATCCCGGCCGCTGAAGCAATGCGGTATTTATAACCGAGGCCTTTTTCCCAGTGAAGGGCTCTTTCATCTGCCTCGGGTCGCCGGGAGGGAACTGTTGCGTTTGCGAAGAGCCGGAGACGCTTTTAATTACGGGGCGACCGCAAGCATGAGCTAATGGGGCTGCGGGGCGGCCGCCCGGCTCGTAATGACAGCCCGCGCGTACCTGCGCGCTCTGATGTGGCCTGGGAGCCACTCGGAGCGGCTGCAAACGAGAAATTCCTGCCCCGGGAAGCCGCGTCCCGGCTGGCGCCGCGCGTTGCGCTGCCGAACAACCCCCCAGTGTTACAGGCCCCCGTGGGCAGCCGGAGGGCTGCTGGATTTCTCCGCGCACTGCCCTACAACTCGCTCCATCCCGCCGGGAAGCGGCCGCTGGGGCCTGCGGTGCCGCTCACGCTCGGAGCAAGCGCCTTTCCCGAAGGAAACCCGTCGCGCCGTGCACGGGGTGGAGTTTCCCGTTTGGGATCAGCCGGCATCCGAGCGGCTCCTTCCCCGCCACCGCTTCCAGCCCGTGCCGAGCGGCATTCCCACTCCGGAAAGGGCCCATCGCAGCTGCGAGGGCTGCCGAGGCCCCTTTCCTTAACCCTTTCCTGGCATTGCAAAGGCTTGGCAAGCGGGAGCCTTCGTCCCGCGGGTGACGCAGTGAGCATGTGCCCGGATAAGGGGAGCCGGGAGCTGCAGCTTTCCTGGGAGCTTTTCCTGGATAGCCAGGCTCTTGGATGGGCCGGTGACATGGAGCAGGAGCAACGGCGGGGGTTCAGCGTGGCAATGCCGTTAGATATAGAAATGCATGGTTTGATTCCTCCCAACGCCTGATTTTTCCCAATGGAATCAGGGCAGGTTTGGGCTGTGGTGGCAGCCGAGGAGCTGGGGCTGCCGTCCGGCCGGGATTTCCCCGGCAAGGCCGGAGCTGCCGGCCCACAGGGGCCTCCTTGCAGCGGGAAAAGGGTTTTGGGATCTGCGTGCAGCAGGGTCGGGCTGCCGCGCCGGCCCCGTCCTGCCCTGCGGAGCACGAAGGGAAAATGCAATCAAGGGAAAATGCAACCAAGGGAAAATGCAACCAAGGGAAAACGCAACCATGGGAAAATGCAACCAAGGGAAAATGCAGTGGGGTAATGCAGCTGGGGTAACACAGCCTGGGGTGATGTGGCCTGGGGTAAATGCAACTTGGGGTAAATGCAACCTCGGGTGCATTTACCTGGGCTAGATGAACCTGCGGTGAATATGACCAAGGGTAAAGGCAAGCAGGGAACACTACCTGGTAAAAGCGACCTGGTTAATGCAGGTTTAGGGTAAATCCACCTGGAAAATACAACCCAGGCTAAAGTCACACGGGTAATGCAACCCAGGGTAAATGCTCCTGGGTAATGCAACCTGGTAAATGCAGCTTGGAGTACATGCCCACAATTAATACAGCTCAGGGTAATTGCACCCAGGTAGTGCAACCTGGTAAACAGAGCCCAGGATAAATGCACCCAAATAATTCAACCCAGGGTCAGCGCACCCTGGTACTTCAACCCAGGTAAATGCACTCGGATAATGCACCCAGTGTCAATGCACCTGGATAATGCAACCCAGGGTAAATGCATCTGGATACTGCAGCCCAGGGTAAATGCACTGGGTAATGCAGCCTGGTAAATGCACCCCAGGGAAAATGCCCACAGATCATAGAATCGTAGAATGCTCAAGGTTGGAAGGGACCTCTCGAGGTCACCTAGTCCAACCCCCTGCACACGCAGGGTCACCTAGAGCACGTGGCACAGGACTGCGTCCAAGCAGGTTTGAAGATCTCCAGAGAAGGAGACTCCACAACCTCTCTGGGCAGCCTGTTCCAGGGCTCTG